ATACATACATGCAAAAAGTTATTAACGTGGAACTACTATATCAAATAGCTGTCATAAGTACGATAGGTCGAAAAGAAGGTTCTTGTAGGAAATTCTTTTTATACCCTGAATCCATTGAAAATGGGTAAATAGTAGTGCTTGTAACAGGCAGAAAGATGCTTCTCCGACCCCATAAAGTATATATATTCTCGATCAGCATCAACAGCCGAGTCGATCTAGCTATTTCCGTCTGTCTGTCCGTCCGTCCGTATGTATGTATGAACGCAAGGATCTCAGAACCTATAAGAGCTAGAGACTTGAACTTTTAGCTGTAGGTCCTCCTAGTCCATGCGCAGTACGAGTTTGTTTCGGATAATAGATAGCTTACTCCGTTTCCAAGCAATCGATATCAAAATCCTGTTTTCTGAGCAAATTGGGTAAATAATAAGAGCTACAGTCACCAATCAGTATCTTTCATTTTATACCTATCGCCACCTCCCCGCTACCACCGTAAAGCTATAAATCAAGTAAATAAACCAATTTACATATGCTGCCCACCAATATAATAATATATAATATATAATTTTTAGAGTACACGAATATTTTATAGTACAATAAGATCTACTGCTGAAAATGTCATCAAGATTGGTTAAGAAACACGAAAGAAAATGTGTTTTGGCTGCCCACGTGTTAGCGGCAGCTAACAAATTGCGAGAATTTCTGTATACATGTACACACACACATTAATGCGCGTCTGCTTTGAATTCTATCAACAGCATTGTAATTGCGATTGTATTGTTTTTTTGTGCTGCTATTTTAATTCGTTTTTTTCTCATTAGAGCTTAATTATTGGTGTTGCTGTTGAATTAAGGCGGCGGGAAGTGGCGTGGTCAGTTTCGAGTTCGAACCATACAGAGGAAAGTGTTGTTTTTTGGCTGGTGTGTCTGTTGAGTAGAGTCGGCAGCAAGTAATGCGGTCAGTTACGAGTCGATCCCTGCCAAGGTAACTTTATTTTTTTTAATTTATCTTTATTACTACTAATGCAAACGTGCGCGTAGCGCGAGCTGCATTTGGTGTTGCAATAAGAGGGTTCAGGGTATCCCCTAGTCGGGAGCTCCCGATTAGAACCTCTTACTTGCTTGTTTTGATATCTTGCTATATTTACGCCGGCATTTACTAGTTAGAGTTTGCTGCTTATAAGTATATGATCAAGATCGGTCTTCTATGTTGTATATGCCATATTTAGCTTATATAATTTTATAAAAATCAATAAACACCGAAGTTATCAAAAGATGCATTTGCCATATTGTGGGACAGACACAGCATAAATTGCGCAGCATGCGGCGTGTTTATTTGTATATGTGTGTGTTTGTATGTATGTACGTATGCATGGCGAGAACATCGAACTTTAGCAGATCGTTGCTAAAGGGTATCTTCTAATTGGACCCTCCACAATATCAGTTTTATTTTATATACCCTTACGGATGTAATTATAATCACTTGATTTTTTTGGAGAGCCATATGCTTTGAGTGATGGAAGGGCATCGTATGGTTAGCGGCTTGACGCTGTCTACTCTCCCATCCACTGCGTGAAATTATTAAAAAAAAACAATTTTCATTTATTATGTATTTATTTATTTAAAAAAATATTTCATATAAATTTATACATTTTTAACGATCTCCAGAATTAGATTATACAATATCAAAACTCACATATTCTGAAAATAGAAAACTGGCATGTATTTTGATGAAAATAAATTTCAAAGATTAAATGTACAGAGTAAATGTACTTATGCATTTACATACAAGTTTTACACATTTGTGTATGCATACATAACACACTATTATACAACTTGCAATAGCCACTTTTCTTTTCGAAATGTTAGCACAACTATTTTTATTTTATATTTTTTAAGTTGTTAATTTATCCATTGAACTGTATTTATGTATATGGTTTATTTGACAGCACCCATTACATACGTATGTATGTATGTATGTTTTCACTTCACTATAAAAATTTAACTAAATTTGCCGCCAGCGACGCATCATTCCTTTAGATCTTCCCTAATGCTACATTTTATAAGGCAACAGTTTTTGTCCTTTGTGTCGGTAAAAATAAACCAAACAAAGAACAAATCGAAATCAAAAACAGACTGGAACTATCTTTTTTTGTCCCTTTTTTCGACTGGCACTGCCATGCAGACCTCGTGGTGAGTTTCGCGGACCGTTGGCCACCGGCCATGTAGCAATTGACTCAAAAACTCGCATACACGCACACACGAATTATATTTATTTGCGATGTAGAGCATCAAATAGTACAAGAGTCGAATTTAACATTTTATGATGCGTTTATTCGTACTGGTTAGATCAATGGTTTCTTTACGACTGAAATTTAGTTCTGTGTCAGGCTCGTTTACCGTTGTGGGATTTTTTCAGAGTAAATTATCTCAAGCCTTGCTTATACCTTAAGTGGAGCGGCTGAACCACTTTTGATTAATTGCTTGCAATAAGAGCCTTTAGCAGAGAAGCTACGAGGCTCTAGGTAGATAAGTTAGGAATCGTTGAGAAAATTAATAATTAATATGTGTAAATACCAAGTCTATATATATTTTCATATTCGTGTGAATGCGGGGGTGTTATCCTAAAGAGAAATATTCTGGATCTGTGTGTATACACAGTATTATTCGAAAATACATTTGGTTTCTAGCTCTTATATGCTAGGACTAGCAGGTATACCCCGGCGTAGCCCGTGGAATCTATAAAATAAATTCTGTCAAAGATCTTTGAAAATTCGTTTAAAACCGACCGGATAAACAAAAAACTTTTATACAACCATTTTCCGCCAATTTACCACTGTTGTTGGTGGAATTTTCCCACATCGCTGAAACACGTATTAATTAAGTTCTTATGTAGAGCCTTCAAAATAAGTTTGATGCAAATCGGGCAAAACTTAAAGCTTCACCAAAAAAATCTCTGAAGCGTTTGTTTTCGATATTCGATAACTTGCCCCGTTTCCAAGTAATCGATAAAAATCGATATCTAAATCCTGTTTTCTGAGCAATAATAACTTGACATGTAGCTTCTAGAATAGTATATATTTATCAAGTATCTTTCATTTTATAACTATCGCCACCTCCCCGCTACCGCCACATAGCTATAAATCAAGTAAATAAACCAATTTGTATTGCCCACCAATTAAAGCCACAATTTTAATGCAATTGATTTTTTGAGAATATACAAATATTCTATAGCACAATAAGATAAACTGTAGAAAATTTAATTAAGATCAGTTAAGCACAAATTTATTAAAAAAAATTTGTTTTGGGTGGCCTCGTGTTTGCGGCAGCTAGCGCAAATTATAAGAATTTCTGTATACATGTACACACACTCATTCATGCGCGTCTGCTTTGAATTCTATCATCAGCAGTGCAATTGCGATTGTATTGTTTTCAGTGCTGCTATTTTACTTCGTTTAACGAATTCGACACCTATCTAGGAGACATATTTTTAATTTTTTTTTTTTACTTTACAATTGAATTACTACTGAAGCAGGGTTCAGGGTATTCCCTAGTCGAGAGTTCCCGACTAGAGCCTCTTACTTGTTTTTCGTATAGATCTTTGAAAATAAATATGAACACGAAACGTCACCCACGAAATCTTTGAACCCCATTTCCACCAAAGAGGAATGCATTTTTCAAAAAGTGTATAACACCCCTCAAATGAATTTGAACAAAGATCTTTGAAAAGTTTCATACAAACTTTGTTCGCGATTTTTCCACACTTGCTGGTGGAAGGGTATGGTAACTACAGTGAAAATTTCAGCAACTTATCTCTTACGGTTTGAGCTGTGCGTTGATCACCAATCAGTCAGTCAGTTAGTCAGGACAAACAGTTTTATATATAGAGACTAGCGGGTATAACTCGGCCTTGCCCGTGGCACGTATAAAATAAATGTTCTCAAAAAGCTTTGAAAATGATTTTAAAACTGATCGGACGGTAAACAAACAACTTTCATACAAACGTTTTCCGCCAATTTACCACTGTTGCTGGTGGGATTTCCCAAATCGCTGAAACAAGTATTCATTAAACTCTTTCGTAGAGCTTTGAAAATCAGTTTGAAGCAAATCGGACATAACTTTAAACTTCACCAAAAAATCTTAGAATCGCATTTCTATCGAGCAAGCTTGGATTCTGCGAAAAAGTGTAAAACACGTCTCAAACGATTTTTCGTATAAATCTTTGGAAATTAATTTGAACACGAAACGTCACCCACCAAACCTCTGACATCCATTTCCACCAAAAAGGAAAAAATTTTTTGAAAAGATTGGAACACCCCTCAAATAAATTTGAACAAAGATCTTTTAAAATGAGTTTGCGGCCGATCGGATTGTAAACAAAAAGTTTCATACAAACTTGTTTCGCGATTGCGGGTGGAATTTTCCGAGACCCCGTCTTAGCGTGCACCTTCATTACAAAAGAAAACTATTTTAGAAATTTGAGCTTCCTAGCTCTTACGGTTTGGGCTGTGCGTTGATCACCAATCAGTCAGTCAGTCAGTCAGTCAGGACAAACAGTTTTATATATAGAGATGTATAGGTTCAAAAATTAAAAGTTCGATTACGGTTTTGGTGTACGATCCGGGGCTCAAAGATTGTATGAGGGCCGATTAAAGCTTAGTACGGTCTACTTCAAACATGTTTTCCAAGCTCTACATAAACACAGTGAAAACGGGTTTCACCGACACTGGGGAAAAGTGGCGAAAAACGGTAACATGCAATTTTATTGTTTATAATCTGATCAGTTTCAGACACAATTTTGTTAACATTGAGAAAACTAATGTATTTTACACTTTTTGCGAAATTCACCGCTCTTCGGGAGGTATCCGTCTATCGAGGACTGCTGCTCGTACTGTGAATCGAGACAAGTTCAATGTCGTAGGCAGTTAAACTAGTATGTGCGTGGTGATGATTGTAAATAATTTTTGGATGAATTAATAATAATTGATTATGGCGGGCACTCACCGACAGTTTTGATAATCTGAAAGTTATCAAAATGATATTTACGCACACCCTTTGCTGTTTGAATGCTGTTACTTTCTTCGGACTCTTCGTCAGTCTCCTCATCGCCAGTATCATTGCTGTCGTCATTATCGCTTTTATCGGAGTCCTCGTTATTGGTAACATCATCTGTGTCGTGACCATCGTCCTTCCCATCTTCATCGACGGTGTCATTATTCACAGACGCTGTTGTGACGCTGCTGCTACTACGACTGCTGGCGCTGACGTGTGTGGATTGCGTATGTTTTTTTTGCTGCTGTTGCGATTCTTCTTCTTCTTCATCGCTTTCCTCGCTATAATCCGATTCTAATGGATCTGATGACTCACTAGAGGCCATACTACAGCTTCCTCCGCGCACGTCGCTACCGACAGTGCCAGGACCTAACTTAAATGTAAATGTGGCCTCTGTATTAGCGTTATTTGTTGTTGAGCTGGTTGTAGGATTAAGCTTCTTGTTCTGCAGCGATGACACTGGTGTCAAGTGGCTTTCGCTTCCTGGTTTTATTTGTGATGAGGTACTGCCTTTTGTTGATGCTGAAGTTTTGCCGACACCTGCAATCGGTGTGCAAAAACGAGCGCATGTAGCTGTCGACATTGCGGCACTCGTAACCCCACTATGGTTTATCTGTAAACAAATATAAAGAAAAAAAAAGTTAGAATTTGGAATGTTGTGATGAATTAAAATAGGAGTGAATTATTAATTCTTAAGACGGGAGACGAACTGCAAACTATTTCTTTCCAAACTGTCTAGATGAACCTTTACTAATTATTATTACACCAGGTGTGAGACAGAAGGACCCACATCCGATCCCAATTAACTAACAATCTGCTTATCTGCCAACCGACCATCGGTCAGTATAATCGCGTCAAGTTCCGAGATTTTCATAAAAGCTTGATACACTAAATATTCAATTTATCTAGGCTCTCATTTAAACAATAATTGTTCCTGTTTAGGCGTATGATAACGTAGTCCGATGTTGATAAGATTTTGCACTTATATAAATAGCATAGTGAAGCTCTTGAAAGCTAAGTTCGGTTACTCATACAATATCTGATTTATCGACCAATTCTTCCCATAGAAAATAATATACCTAGCCGGTATTTCCTGGCCTTGCCCAGGTTAGTTTTGTGCCTGACATTTTAAATTTTACTTTTTAACCCGTGTCCCGTCCGTGACAATTTTAATCTACGTGCAATAACTTTAAAAAAAAAATATGATTAAAGTCCAAAAAACTAAAAGTTTGTATCAACGGTGTTCGCACTTGTTAAACTTGTGGGGAGTATCTAGAAGCCGAAAAAATAAACTTTCGTTCATAAAACTTTCTCAAAAAAATTTGAAAATATGTTTAAATCCGATCTAATTGTAAACACGCATGTATTAAGCTCTTATGTTGTGCTTTGAAAATGAGTTTGAGGCCGATCGGACGAACCCCTTGACCGCCAATTATCCTCCATTAGGGGATTTCCAATTTCAATTGAATTTGAAGATTTCGATCTAGCCATGTCCATCCGTATGTATGAATGAGTCGATGTCAGATGTATAAGTTAAAACTTTCATAAATATCGGACAATAAACAATGAAGTAAATCACATAGTGGGCGGCTAAGAGAAAAAGAAGCGCAGCCGCAGGGTGCATGTGTGTATATCTGATTTTGTGTATGTACAGTACGACCTCGCTCAACGCAACCCTCGTTACACGCAACTCCTCTATAATCGCAATACCCGATTTCTTAACATTGTAGAAACAGCTGTTCAGAAAAGTATAAATTGTAGAAGTACAGACCACAATTTCTCAATTTTTAAAAAAATAAATAAAGTAAAATGAAATCCTTGCTTTGAACACAGAACTATTCGATTTACTTTAATTTTAATGGTTAGCAAAGGCATTTTTTTTTTGGAAATAGGTCTCGTGGCCAACAGAAAATTTTCCCTCGGTTTTTGCAACCACCTCAGTTTTTGCACTTGGCCAAATTTTAATAGGTTGCGTTGAGCGAGGTCGTACTGTATAAGGATGAAGCGAAAATTCTTATGAGGACAGCTCAGGGTGAGTTTCAAGGAATCTCAAAGTCGGTCATTCTGAACCGGAGCACTTGTTGAAAATAAGTTTGAAACCTAACGGATGACAAGTATGTTTGGTATGTTATGTGTGGGTATGTTATTTTTGGGGAGACCAAACATGGCCTCAGTGTTCACTTAACCCATAAGAACTAACAATTATAACAATTCAGTTTCCACCATCTTAAGGTTTTGCCAGAATATTTTTTAGCACTCAGTCACTCAGCACAAACATTTTTGTTTTTTTTTTTTTTGTATATTGACGTATATAAATAATTATATATATATGTTCCCATAAATTCGAATATGTGCTAATATATGTGATATAGAGAAGTGTGCAAGGTATCTCCTAGTCATGCTCTCTCCACATGAACACTCTTACTTGTTACACATGGAAATACTGATTACTCACCAAACACGCAACGTCACTGTATGTCCGATCTACGCCGACTGCCGCTGCTTATATACTCTTATACTTTCACAAGTCAAAAAGGTATATTGGTTTGGAGCAGAGTCCACCTTGCTTTTCGTATTTAGCACATATTATGTACGCAATTTGTTTAACGCTTTTAAAGCTAGATTTCATAGACAAAGTGTTAAGAATAAAACTTTTGTCTTCCTCAGTTTAAGGCTAATCACCAAAATTTTAAATAAACAAATTTGTATTTTCTGAGCTTACAGTTTGAAGGGTAACAGTCTTAAGGTAACGAATCCAATAACCAAGAAGTCCCTTTAAAACCAGGCTTAAGCCGTTATTACAGAGAATAAAGTATCGTGTGGTTGATTGTACCCGACTGCAACGTGGGACATGACATACCCTGTACCCCTTACCAACGGTTATAATTATTTTATAAAAATGTTGTTACTTTTGTTAAATGTGCATTCAAAGGACCGTCAGGCTATCGAATCCCGCCCCGAAAATCACTAACGTACATCTTATAGAATTTTAAAGATATCATTTATCATCAATCTTAAGTTGCTGTGTTATTATACTGATAACAGAGTATTGCGTAGTCGAGAGATACGAACTCTTACTTGTTTGGTTTTCTCAGCGATCAGTTTTATTGTTGCTATTGCTGCTCTGACAGTCTGTCTCACGGTACAGTTCAGAATTTTCTATTCGCCGGACTGGAGCAAAATTCGAACGGTTGCGAAATTTTTAAAAATAAATATGTTACTTTGGCGTGCACGATTTTTCTTCTGCTTTTTATTTTGTCTGGCAATTTTCTTTGCCCACGAACAGAAATAACCGCGCGTTGTTCCGCTGGCTGAGATAGGTGTAGGTTTACATATGTATATGTTTATAGGTGTATGATTAATAGGCACTGAAAACTAACAATACCAGGTTTTTTAAATTGTGTTTTGTACGGCGGAAAATTGTGCCACTTTCCACGCTTTTGTAGACCGAAATTTCGTAAATATTACTCTTTGGCTGGCTTTTTATTTATTTTGACCTAATGACGACTTATTGCTCATTGACGACGACGACTTCAATTTGGAGATCTTGAGTATCCGGTTTAATGCCAATTGCACTGACTCGCGATTTTCCGAATGCTGATGAACAATGCAAGCAATACCAATTGCAAATCTTAATTTTGTTTACCAATGAATATTTCAAATTTAATTTGTATAACACATTCCCCTTTTTACGATTTTTAGTTTTCTTTTAGTAAATATTCTTTATTTATTTATTTATTTTCTGTTGATCTGCAGCCAAAAACAACACTGACCAGCCGCTTTCACGATTTACACGAAACTGAAATATAAAATCTGCGAATCGCCTGCTGCTAGCAGCTCTCGCTGTTACCCTCAACGACGACGTCGTCGCTGTCGTTGATGCTGTTGTGTATTTGTAGCTGATGTGCAAACTGGTGTGGAGGATGATGATGAGTTTGGCTGCTGGCTGAGATGCTGCCAGAGATGTCGAATGCTTGTGTTTGCTCTTGGCCATGTGCGACAATTTGTGTGTGTGTGTGTGTGTGTGTTAGAGTAAGCGAATGTCTTAGAGAGTCTGTGTTGAGCATGAAATGGCATCAGTTGCAGGATCACTAAAATGTATATGTATCATCGGAGAAAACATAACTGAACACAAAATCGAGCCTATATGATAATATAGCCTGCTGATAATTTTAATATTTCCCTGTAGTTCTGTGTGAGAGCGGTGGCCTATTGTCTTCTTCGTATGCCACCAATGATACAGCGCAGTGCCAGTCGATAAACGTACAAAATCAAAGACAGCTCAACTTTGTTTTTGACGATCTTCTGTTCTTTGGCTTGTTTTTAGCGGCGCGATGTACAGAAACTTGTACCTTGCTCTTAATGCAGATTCGTTATTCTCTTTCGGACACTATCGAGAACATGCTGACATGTTCGTAAAAATACATGTTGTTGTTAATGCTCTTTAGAAGAAGCATAAGAGAAGATCAGAAGGAAAGAAGTGTCGGTGGCGTCAAATTTAGATTTATCTATAAAGTGCAAGGGCAAACATTTGTAAATAAGTTATAATACCAGAAATTAAACTAAGTAAATACTGTTCAATTGCTTAATTTGCATTGTACAAAATATAACACATAATCAGCTAAGCTAAATACATATGTAAATATGAAAATACATTTACTTTTGTTCATACGTAAATACACAAATTTGAACAATTAATATCTAAAAAGTGATATATTTCAAAAATTTTTATTATTAATTTAATAAAAAGGGCTTTTACTTTCCGTTTCTGAATTGCGGTTAACATATTTCTGGTAGCTGTAACAAAATGTATAAATTTGTATGCAATCTGATTTTTATAAATTAATTAAATAGAATTGATTGTTGAATTATTGAATATACATTTTAATATTATGTAACAAATTTTTTCCAGATCAGTCGCTTGCAAAGCAGTAGACCGCGGGTCGCTGATTTCATTGCGAACGCAAAACAGGGGATTCCTGCAAGACGAGGTAGTAGATCGGTGCTAGAGCTTACCGGCTCTTAGGGATGGAGACCGGTCGTTCGGACCTGACAGGACCTATGGGCCTGTCATAGGAAGGCGGCAATTGAGACGGCTAGCTTCAGGAATGTTGATGCTAATTTCAATGCCCATCGTAATAACCCTTGACAAGGTTAGCGTTTCATTCATTTACTATGGCACGGTCGCCCAGGTGCATCTGTAATTATTTAATTAATTATATTAAAAGTTAGCTGCAGCTACGCATGCATCTGTACTACATACATATGTAAAAGCATTTTTCCTCTCTGTCTGGGTAAGCTACGAAGCTGAAATACTTACTAAAGCTGCCTTTTATGTCTAAAGTGAGAACTAAGACGGTGTCTTTAAATATTCAATCCTCAAGTGTCGGAAAAATGAGGTTAAAGTTTTTAGGAAAAGTTGGCATAGTTGTTATGCCAAAAAATTTGATTAATTTGTTATTTATCACAAATAATAAGAGCATTCATAATTTCTTATATCCACTAAAAGGCTGTCATTTGTATATTTTGACAGACCTAATTTAATCGAGAGAGAATTAACAATTTGTAGATTGTACCGTAGCAGGGACAATGGGGCTCTGATCTGAAGAACCGGTGTAAGATCTCAATGGTCATGTCAGTTAAATTAATGAAAATGGGGCCGCTTTTTGGGTTTTTTATACTTTGTTCAATAAAATATTAAATTGATAAGAATAAAATAACATGGAGATATACATACAAATTGTATACAGATAACCGAAACTCCGTACTTTTGAGTCATATATATATGAGTTGATCACATAAATCCCTTATTTCTCACTTGTCATCTGTCGGAAACGCAGAAAAAGACACCATACTGTCATCGTAAAACTGTATCTCTAAAAATTTTGCTAATTTGCCAGATCAAAGTCTGTTTCAGTGTGACCAAATTTAAGAAGCATTCAATACCATATAACAGGCAGTGAGGTGGGCAAAAGGAATATTTTAACGCCGTTTTCTACTACGGTCTCGTCCATATCATTTGTGAAGGTGTACGTTAAGACGGAGTTTCGGAAAATTCCACCCGCAAGTGGGAAAAACGTTTGTATGACACTTTTTTGTTTACCATCCGATCGGCCTTAATCTAAATTTCAAAAATCTGTGATCAAATTCATTTGAGGGGTGTTTCACACTTTTCCAAAAATGTATTCCTCCTTGATGACAATGGGGGTCAAGGATTTGATGGATGACGTTTCGCGCTCAAATTCATTTTCAAGGATCTATATGAAAAATCATTTGAGACGTGTTTCACAATTTTCGCAGAATCAGGATGCTTTGAAAAGGATGCGGGGAAAAGTGCGATTCTTAGATTTTTTGGTGAATTTTTAAGTTCTGTCCGATTTGCTTCAAACTTATTTTCAGAGCTCTACATAAGAACTTACTAAATACGTGTTTCAGCAATTTTGGAAATTCCACCCACAACAGTGGGTAGTTAGCGAAAAATGTTTGTATGAAACTTTTTTGTTTACCGTCCGATCAGTTTCAAAATCTTTTTCAAAGCTTTTTGAGAACATTAATTTTATAGCATACGTGCCACGGTCAAGGCCGGGCTATACCCGCTAATTGTTATATATTTGTAACGATTCTATATCTCAATTTGTTGAGTTACAGCCTTATTCCACTGTCCACATTTCTTCCACATTTTTGAAAAGGTTACATTTTTTAAAAATGTGTAAAATGCGGCCTATTCGTTTTCCCTTAAGAAAACACATTTTACACATTTTTCAAGAATGTCACATTTTTGAAAAATGTGTAAATTCGCCCCGAACAGTTCGTGATTTTTGCGATGATTTATCGAGTTTTCTATCGATGTTGTGAAAAATGTGAAAGTATCAAAGTATCATTACTATAAACAGCTGATATAGCACCGAAAGCGATAACTTTAAATTATAATTTTCAATTTTAATAATCGCTCAGTTTTTAACATTCAAAGATGGCCAAATCCCGCAAAGAGTCCATTAAATGGAGCCCTTACTTCGAGGTCGTATTATTTAACTTTTGGTAGAAAAACTTTGCGGCGCTTATGTAAATCAAAGCAACTCGATCAGCTGTTTATTTAAATAAACGGTACTCTTGCATGTTACCGACAACCGACACTTTCAATGTAACACCAATATGTGAAACTTGAAAATGTGGCATTTCTTAAGCATAGTGTACAAAGGCTATTATTTATAATAGTGCGTCCTGAAATTGATTTAGATTTCGCCGATCAGCTGCTTACCTCACCAAAAGTGTAGTGTGCCCATTAAGGAGGGTATCCTCAAGATAAAGGGAAATCAGCTCGAAAGTTGATTTTTAGATTTGATTTATTATTTATTTATTACGTTATCTGCTTGTGTGACCGTTCTCTTCAAAGAGAACTACGATATTTAGACGATAAGTTTTTAGTACATCGCTAAAAAAAAGGTCATTCACTACGAAAATGTAAACAAACGTAAAAACCAAGTAAGTATTGAACACAATATGATATACATATATCTCTATTTATTTAATATGTCTTTCTTTTAACCGTCTGACTTGGAGTGTCGACACCGAAAACATACTAATTGATATATGGCAAGAAAATATTGGTGACTTCAAACTGGATAATCTCAACCGGAAATAGAAGTAAGTTTTACGTTGCAGTGAAAATTAGTCCATTTTATAAAAATTAACCAATTATTGGGCTCGTTTAAGGGCCATGCTCCAGTCACGGTGGATAACCATTGTACTCATAGTGTTTAATTATTTAGTTAATATGCGTATTATATTTTGCAGACCATCAAGCTGAGCTGGTCAGCATCACCCGTGACCGGCTTAAACTTGCACGGGAAATGCAAAAAACCGAACAGGAGCACCAGCAAGCGCAAAGGAACACGCTGAAGGAAATAGCGCCCAGCACTGTACATTTACAGGCACAGCTGATTGAATTTTTTCCAAATACAAATAATTAATATTATAAGTAATTATATAACAAAAAACCCATTGTGCCCTTAAATATGTAACAGCAGCCAATTTATTTTAAAAATTCATATTAATCTTTTTTCAGAAGACTTTGTATGGCTGCCATTTGTAAAGATGTTAGATGTTGCCAATGTGAACAGCAGTTTCATATCTTCAATAAATTTCATTCGATTCCCGAAAATGTAGTCAAGTTGATTTGACTATTACATTCTGCTGTTATTCAATATACTTATCTTAGTACAATTCAAGTTTTAATAATTAAATGATTTTTTATGCATTAACTACACGGAATTAAAATTGCTCAAGATTTAAGATAAAAATGCAAAGCAATTTGAAATTGCAGCCAAATCATACCAAATCAAACTTTTTTTTTTAGTAATTTGGCTGCCATCTTAGACTTAGATTTTCTTTCACGAAATCTAAATCAATTTCAGGAATCCCAAAACATAAAAATCTTATAACGCAAAATATTAAAAAAAAAATCAATAGAATAAAACTAAATCAAAAAAGAATATCGTAAAAACGAAACACAGATTGACATTTCGATTTTTCGGTCTCGCTTTCAGTAGATTCTGCATGCATGTAAATGCTTATCATTGGGGACCGATATTGTTATTTAAATTATAACCTTCTAATAATATAATGATGCGACTGTACGCTTCGCATATTGTAATTTTATTTGCTCCCATTAAAAAATTATATGTTTCCCGATTTTCATTAGTCTTTCCCTCTGATCCACAAGTCACCAGGATAATAAAAGGAAAGACACAATCAATTTTAAAGGATCTAAAGTTAATCAGCATACAATTTTTTAAATTGAAAATAAGCTACTGAGCTGCTCTTAAAAAATGAAATGATACTGTTGCAGTTGATACTCTTGATGATAGGATTAAATTTGTCTTAAGACAGACTTGTACGGTCAAATTTATTTCGTGAGCAAAGCTTGGCACGACATGCTTTTATCGTGATTCTCGTGTTATGTGTCACTTTGTCAAAACAGGGCGGTAGTGAGAACACTACGCAATGAAATATATATGTATGATTTCATTCCAGTTATTCGTCTTGTCGAGCTATTTTTGTGTTGATAAAACACCAGTGCCTTACTAAAAATTCGCGCGTTATTGTTATAGAGCAATATCTCTTCTACAAAAAAACTTAATTTCTTCACTTCATATCATAACGTGAAAGTCAAGATATAATGAAAAAAAAAACAATGTTCCATACAATTTAATTTTCGACCGATCGTTCCTATGGCAGCTATATGATATAGTTGTCCGATCCAGCTGGTTTTGACATATGTACTGCGTGCAACAGAAAGAGGCACTTCAGCAAGGTTTCATAAATATAGCTTAAAAACTGAGATACTAATTTGCATAGAAACAGACAGACGGACATGGCTATATCGACTCGGCTGTTAATACTGATCATGAATCTATGTACGTACATATATACTTTATGGGGTCGGAGATGTCTCCTTCTGTGTGTTACACATTTCACGATAAAATTATAATATCTCTTGCAAGGGTATAAAAAGGCTTGCATACCCACTTTTCTTAATTTCGTACGTGAAGGTAACTCGTAAAAGCACTCAAGCGTGTTGGCACAGTGATCGTTGTTTCCGACAACAGAAATTGTGGCACATCTGAGCTAAAATCAATCAAAGCGCTGTTGACTTTTATCCTACTTGACGATGCTTCTTTATTTTATCTTTAATCGACAAAATAGTGCCCGTGTCAAATTTACTGTCAAAATGTGATGGTTGAATTATGATCCACGCGCCCCACCTTAAAAACACCGATATATCGAATTTTTGGGCAGTCCTGCTGTAAAACTTGCCTCCATAATATAAGGCAATTATATGTTGCATTTGACCACTCACGTCCTTGTCCTACAACTGGGCCGTTGACCCTAAAGTGCAGATGGGCAGCAACGGTGTCCGCCTCGTATAAATATGCGTGTGCCGAAATTCGGCACCGATGATGTTGCTGCCCAAAAGTACAACAGGGAGTTCGATTTGGTCAGCGGTCAACGGCGCGCGTGCCGGCTCGAAGCGAGTTGCATGTTGCTCCAAATATTCTGGAAAAGTTTTCTAACCGGCCAATTTTATTTCGCTGTTTAATAAGGAAACATGAATTTATACATTGTGTCACAATATACAAAAATAAAAAAAACTTAAAACTGTCATGCGATCCCGGACGAACGAATTTCGACGCAGCGGCGCACCTCAGCCATGCCCTCGGCGCACGTGTCACCGACGATATCCAGAAGGACAGGCCAAGAAGCGGCCACGGGCGAGACCGAGTGGCAGGTAGAGACAGACGTAGACTCATGTTCGAGACCCCTGCCTGAAAAAAAGATTTTTGCCATCATTAGATTTAGTTCTTTTGTATAAATATATATATATATGTACTTACGCCTAGTTTCACTTAAGAAAATTTCCTAAAGTGCGAACAGCGAAGGAAAGGCCCCAAAAAGTATTGCGTCTGCCAAATAAATAAAAAAGCAAAACAATTAGATTTTTGTTAATTTGTGCACGAGCGATACCCGCTTATATGTATATATATGCCATGCGCCATATGTGCAGAATACCCAATATGATGGCCCTTACCGCCCCATCCAGAGAGCTCTTTGGGCAGGCAAGGTATAATAAGCGCTTTTGACACACATATATAACCTGTACGTATTTATTTCAGCGGTCACTTGCTCCCCCATTGGTGCAATAATTACCTGGTATTTGTAGCTTTCCCTTTGTTTCTTTTTGTATTCTGTAAGATAAATGAAATTTAAGAAATTTAATACACAATTGTGATAATTATAAAACAAAGCAATAATACGCACCTGTTGACGAGCTGAAGACAAAAGTCAGCATGAATAGAATAAATTGCAGAATGGGGATACCCTATAAAATTAGGAGATAAGAGATGTTAAAATTGTTAATAATTATAAGAAACGCAACCAATTATACGCCCTTACTGAAGAGAGAAATGTCCGGCTAAGTCTCAATTGTAGGGGAGAGGGAGATGACAGCCGACACGGGCTGATGCAGGCCATCTAGAGGCCAAAATGAGGGAGATGACATCAGGTGATCGTCTCAGGTAGGGCGGGTACACTGGATCCGGAACCGGGACCCGATCTGGAGAAGTAAAGTGGATTAATAGTGCTTTTTTGTTAATCTATATTGAGCGTCTCACCTTCATTGTTTACATTTCTTGTTGTTACAGCTGTTAGTTTTGTTCATTTGTTAATAGTTCCGGCTGTTTGATGTTATCGATTATGTGGTTCATTTTGAATAGTGTCGTGTAGGTCTGTTTTGCTATAGACGTAGCTTTGTTGATATCGAATGTGCGGACTGCGGGCCAGGGATGGAACCACAACCACCGAGAAACAAGCAGTTCCGTTACATATATTTCATATCATCAATATTTTAATTTATTATAATTTAATCCAAAACGCATTGTTTGTTTTAGCGATTGGGTCCCGTAGATTAAAAAGATACAAAGAAATCGCGGTTTTGACTTAATCTATGTATGTAGTTTTACAAGACAAATTGATTTCCACTCGCAGGTGTTTATATGGTTTAACAACGTAAATAATTAAAAAATAAATAGATTAGTCGTGATAACAGTTTCAAAATGAGTCGAGCATCTATCGACATGCCATCTACCATAGTTATTTAAATTCAAAGATATGCAGTTGTAAATTAAAATTACATATTGCGTGGAAGAATATACATATATAACAGCCATTGCCCACGCCAAGATTTGTGCTACAGATTTTAAATAACTTGAACTCGACGTCTAGTCTCAGTTATATTTTACATAAATATTAGAAAATAAGTTTCGGCTATTACTGAAAATTACGAAGCGGCAAAATACCCTTTTGTTCATAGATTTATAAACCACATACCTCTTCCAGGAGCAGCGTGTTTTTCATTGCTTATTGCTTATTGCTTATACTTTGTATACAGAGAACACAGTAGTTTCGGAAATGATGGATGTGAACGCAATGAAATGTAGACAGAAACTTGCATTTTTATCGATAGTTTCGATTTCTTGGAAGATGCGCATAAACCATTTTAAGTATTTCAATTTTTAGACAGTATAACTAGATTTATCTAAAAATCTGGCGTTTGAAGCTGTTTTATTTACGGAATCTAAACTACGCAATTAACGAACCCTTGGAAAATATATCCTACTCATAGATTTTGTTACGTGTCGGCTTGTTCCTGATACTCTATTAGGGCGGATCTTCACGTGTACAGCGTGCGGACAATTACACAACACTACATTAAATCTGCACATCACTAATCAGCTGATTCAAACGTAAACAAATTAAGAGTGGGAAAACATGTAACAAATTCTTCTAAATCGCAATCGGACATAAGTCGATGACCTTGTTGATGTTTCCAAAGCTAACCCATCCTGTGGTTTTTTAAGATTATCACCCTCTTTTAACTTTAGACTCCCTTTGGCATCATCTGAACGGCATAAAGATTCCCCTCCCCTGCATCGACAAACTAAAGGTCAGAACGTGAGTATAATTTATAGCATTCTTATAGATATGACAATATATAATAACGCATTATTTTTTTTTAACAGGTATACATTTGTCCAATCACGCAAAAAAGGATAACAGAAAAGCACTGCCTTTTGCCACTGAAACAACACTATCAAATTGAAGAATATATTTTGTAAACAAATGTGGATCAAACGATCCACATATATATATTAAGTAGCATACCCACCTCTTCACCCATTCCCTTGCACACATGCGATCACATCTCATCAGCGATCACAACTCAGAAATACATATGTAAGTATTCTAATATAATTAAAAAAATTGTAAACAAAACACAGCCTGCAGACAACATCGACATAAGCCGAAATCAAGCGATCTACTCATGCTGACATAAACATTAAACCCCAAACAACATACCACAGTCTCCGCCAGTTTCCGCTAGATGGCATTCTTAAGCCTGATTGCTGACGCAGTTTAAACTTCGGCTGATGAAATGCTCTCAAAGATGTTAGCATTAGCAAGTTAATAATGAAGTCCCCATTACTGAAAATAAATATTATATTTTTGCAGTTAAATAACTTTCATACAACCGTTTTCCACCCATTTAGCACTGTTGCGAATACAATTTAAAAAACGCCTAATGAAGAATTCAGTTCTTAAGTAGGGATGTAAAAATAAGTTCAAACTTAAAGTATCCTTCAAGAATTGGTTGATTCGCGTTTTCCGACGAAACACGTCTCAAATTAATTTGCAATAAATAAAAAATTTAAAAAAAACGAAAACCTTTCGTTTTCTTCTAATTTACCAGTCACAGTCGAAATTTTCAAAATCGCTTTAACAAATTTTCATCAAATTCTTATGCAGGACTTTGATAATAAATTGGAAACCTTAAGCTTCGCCCAAAAAACGTGGAACGCATTTTCTACCGAGGATGCTTGGATTATGCAGAAAATGGAAAAAACATCTCAGAATTACCTATAGATCCTTGGATATTAATTAAAACATGAAACATTATCCACTTGATTTTTGACTCCTATTTCCACCAAATATGAGACACCCCTAAAATGAAAGCAAGGATATTTAAAAATTAGTTTGAGGTCGATTGTATGGTAGTGGAAAAATTGTACATGTTATGATTATCATCGGATAACTTTTTGGATCGTTATTCAAAATACCTTAAACATATTTTTAATAGCCGTATATCTACGATTTTAAGCGCAAAAATGGTCACGGGTAAGGGTGGGAAATACCAGCTAGTGCCTAATAAATAACCTTGTCGTTCGTAAAGAAAGCTACTAAAAACCGTACATGTGTGTATAGCATACATGCATAGGTTTTGTACATGCTGCCCCTAAACAAATACATTATAAATACATATTGTTATTATGCTGTTTATATTGTCTTTGCCCTGATGATATACAAAAAACTGTGCATATGGGTATTGTAAAAATTTTACTGATCCTTATTTAAATAATAATGAAATATCTTGTGATTTGGTGGAATTAAGAATACTTACAAGTAAAATATAAATTGTTAAATTTTTATATATTAAACTGCTTTCTGTTATTATATCTATTAACATTTTACTTTAGAATAAGTTCTAAGTTAATTAATTAAATTTTTTAAATTATTTTGTAAGCAAAAGTATTAAATGTGTAAAAAAATTTTAATATATTTTAATTTAAGTACTTTTGATTTGTTCTAATTGCTTTAAAAGTTTATGACTGAGTAATTTAGCATAATTTTTAATTTTCTTTTCAACCTCTTTAGATATAATATCTAAATTTGGTCAAAAAAAGAACCAATTGTTACAATAAAGAAACAACATACAACTTTTGCAAAGCACTAAAATTTTCTTTACATTTGTATATGTATGTTTGTGTATGGGTATTTCTGTATGCATATTGTAAATATAATTGTTTGGCGACAGTTGCCGTTTGTGTTAGAAATTAGAGTAATAAGACAAAGAGACGCAAAGTCACTTTGAGCTTTTGTTTCGTTTTAGACTTTATCTTTAATGCATTAGGTTGGTATTCAAAAGCAAAGCCTAACACAAAACAATTTACTATAGGAATCAGCAATAAATCACTAGGAAAATTTGTATCCCAGAAGACCGTGGCATTCAAATCAAAAGGTTATGACGTCACATCTCAGCAATTACAAATTGGAAACATAACATTTGATTGTATATGCATGCTTCTGCTGCTGTCAAAATTCAAAGACAATTATTAGGTGAGCTTCATACATACATATGTATACCAACGCACACAAACACTGTTCATGCGCACAAGCACATACATACATATGTACAATCGAATTGAAATGTACTATGCTGCCAGAAGCTAAGACCTAAAAACGCAATATTTTTTACAAGATATATGAAATAATTAATTGATTATAATCAAAACAAACGACTCGACAATTAATACAGCAGATGAAAACTACGATCTTCGGTAATACACTCTTTTCAGTCATTGTTGTTATTTTTAGCCACTGTTTTGCCTGCGATTCGTAGTCACTTCTTCTTTGCTCGCTTTCAATTTGAAATCGGATGGGTTCATTTTTATTTATTATTTTATTATTATTAACAATTTGTATCCAACGTCAGAGTAAAATTTCGTATTTACTGTACAATTGGCACAATTATAAATAATTGTTCTTTTAAAACATGTGTGTGTGACATGTGTGCCACAACAAACACAGTTTGGCTCAAATGTAGTACATGCATACGTCTGTGACGCAGAAGCTTTTGAAATAATGAAGTTTACAACGTTTTGTTCTGGGCATGAAATCACGGTTTAAGGCTTTTGTGTGCGATCGTTGCTACTGCACCCAATAATAATAAATAATATATTATTCGGAGATGCCTTCTTATGCCTGCTACATACATGTACACAAAAACATTACAAAACAATAATGTTATCTGTCTAGGGCTAAAATCATTGAGTGTTACTGAATGGGTTAAGAGTAAACCACTGTCAGCTGATTGGAATTCAAAAGTTATCGCAGGTGGCAACGCTGGAGAGCCTGACAGCTGCACATAATCTGTCTTATTGGCCAAACATTAAATTAAAGTTGGAATGCAACATGTGATACCAGTGTTAGCAAATTGCAATAGTATTAAAATGGTTAATAAACAAGTTATAATAAACATTCTGTGAAATGTAATTGATTTTTCAACGATAACACATAACCGGGAATAGCAACAGCCACACAAAAGCTTTTGAAGCTTACCCCCACTTTCGTTCCGTGCTTTTAGTTTCATTGGATCACTCGAGTGTGGTCCATGTCTCTGTTACTCTTTGCTCCGTTCTGTGCGTGTACATATGAATCTTTTTGGCGCGAGCGGGTTTCGCAGCAACAAAAAATAGTTTACGTATAAATCATTTATGTACATATGTGGTGCATAAAACAACAATCTAAAGTTTAAATACCATTATAAACTAATGTACATGCTTTTTATTTTATTGATTGCATACATATAACAAAATACTTAATTCGCAAGTTTTTAATTCCAATTCAATACCAAACCATAAATACAATAAGTTATATATTTAAACGCAATTTGTTCACTGCACGCGCACAATACGTGCTAATCACGATTGATTTGGCTACAAGTGTGACAACAACAACAACTACAAAGAGCGTTATCAAAAACGGAAGGTGACAACATCGGAGAACAATAAGCTCAACAATAATTGCTTAAGTGAGCAACGAACTGTATAGTATGTATTACATTCGATTTCTAGTTTATATATAGATAAAGAGAATTGTACTTTAAAAAGCATACATAACAAATACTTTTTTCCGAAATCACTATATTTCATTCTCATTCTCCAATATTTATACTATTATTAATTCCAATATTTATTTATTTATTTCCAATATACATATATACTTTTGAAGTATGTTTTCCATTTTGTAACAAAATATCTCCAAATATCTCCAAGATAGCTATGTATATCAAATAGCTGTCATTTGAACGATCTGCCATGAATTAAGCGCTAGTAATGAACATTATATTTGCTTTATAGAAATATTAACCAAACTTGGCATTTACGAATTTTGCCATGCTTCTTACGTGTGTACAGACTTTTCAACATCGGGTCCATATTATATAGCTTTGTATTTATATAGGTCGAGAAATTTGTTTTTGTATGAAAAATTCTTCTGTTTAGTAAGATGTATTGGGCAAACTCAGAAATTGCGAGCTTCACTCTTCTTGCAAAACCGAAAGCCAAGGCCGAAGATAGCCGTTTTTATTTTTTATACCCTTTTAGAAGGTATTTAAAATTTGTCATGATATGTAGAACGCGTAGAAGTAGACTTCTCTGACATATAGGCAAACTGATCGAAAAGTAAGTTCTTGTATGAAAAACTTCTTCGTTTTTGAAGATATTTTGTCATTAACGAGTTTTACTATGCTCCTCACATATATGCAAAATCTTATCAACATTGGACCTGGGCCACTAAGTCATTTGGCTGCCATAGCAAAGACGGTAGAAAATTAAATTCTTGTATAAAAAGCTTTTTTGTTTATTTACTAGTTTCACTATGCTGATTATATACGAGCCAGATCTTATCAAGATCGTACTTCTTTATTATGCATCTCTCTAATGAGATTCGGTTGAAAATTCATTTTTTTATTGCAAAATATAGTTTTCCAAGACTACGAGCTTTACTTTACTCACATATCTGTTAAGCCGTAAGGCAAATATAAACAAGTGTATAAAACCTTTGTTTCGCAATGTCTAATAGGGGGAGAAACGGCTTTGTCCTAATTCATAATCGTTTAGCAGAAATAATAATAGGAGTGACCTTAAGCCGAGTTTTTACTCTATTTATAGAATAACATTTCTAAAATTTTTATACCCTGACCCCATTGAAAATGGGTAAAAGAGTATAATGTATTTGTGCAAATGTATGTAACAAGCAAAAGGATGCTTCTCCGACCTCATAAAGTATATATTATTTATTCTTGATCAGCATCAACAGCCGATTCGATCTAGCCATGTCCGTCTGTCTGTCCGTCCGTCCGTCCGTATGCATGAACGCAAGGTTCTTTGATCCTATAAGATCTAGAGACTTGAAGCTTTAGCTGTAGGTCCTCCTAGTCCATGCGCAGTACGCGTTTGTTTCCGATAATCGAAAACTTACTCCGTTTCCAAGCAATCGATAAAAATCGATATCGAAATCCTGTTTTTTGAGCAAATTGGGTAAATAATAAGAGCTACAGTCACCAAACTTGATAAGTTGCTTTTATAATAGTATATATATATCAGTATCTTTCATTTTATACCTATCGCCACCTCCCCGCTACCACCAAAAGCTATAAATCAATTAATAAACCAATTTACATATGCTGCCCACCAATATAATCCACAATTTAAATGCAATTGTAATTTTGACACGAATATATATCGGTTAAGAGCTGTTATATGTTATATATTATGTTGCGGCAGCAAGCGCAAATTCCAAGAATTTCTGTATACATGTACACACACACACACGTTTATGCGCGTCTTCTTTGAATTCTATCAACAGCATTGCAATTGCCATTGCATTGTTTTCTGTGCTGCTATTTTAATTCGTTTTTTTCTCATTAAAACATAATTATTGGTGTGGCTGTTAAGTAGAGGGGGCGGGAAGTAGCGCGGTCAGCTCAAACCCTACCGAGGAAAACGTTTTCCTATTTGGCAGCAAGTAATGCGGCCAGTTACGAGTTCGAACCCAACCAAGGGAACTTTTTTTTTTTTTAATTTATCTCTATTACTACTAAAGCAAACGAGCGCGTAGCGCGAGCTGCATTTGCCGGCAAGTGTTGTGCCTTAAATGTTAGATATTACTTTCTCACCCAGCTCACGACAGTGGAAAATTTAAATCTTTCCGTACCATCTTGAACTCCATGTCTATTTGAAAACATGTTTAAAGTCCATCAAAGAAAGATATAAAAGTTTTAATTCACGATAAGTGAACTTTCGGTTATTAAGCATTTGACCGCGTTTTTCATCCAAGAGCGGTGAATTTTGCGAGAAACATGTCAAATAAATTTTTTACGAAGATCTTTGAAAATGAGTTTGAAGCTGACCCGAGAGTAAACAAAAAGTTTAAATTACTCTCTTGGAACGTATAACCTGCATTTATTATCTTAGAGAGGCGGATTTTAAAAAAAGTGTGAAACAAGTTTCAAATAAATTTTCACAAATACCTCTGAAAATAATCTGGACTATTGGATGGTAAACAAAAAAGTTGTATACATCCGTTTATCACTGTTGCGAGTAGACTTTTCAAAGTTCTTATGTATCTTAAGACTTCTCGCAAAAAATCTTTGAATCGCATTTTGCACCGAGGATGCTTGGAAACAGGAATTTTCAAAGGGATCCTTGGGAGTGAATTAGAATGCGAAGCTTTATTCACCAAATCTTTGACCACCATTTCCAAAAAAAAATTTCTGATTTACAATTGTCCAAAAAGTGGGAATGATCTATGAAAATGATTTTGACGAAGAGCGGACGGTACATGCAACCGTTTTTCACGATTTTTCCACACTTGGGGGTGCAATTTTTAAAACCCCGTTTAAGCTTACACCATCATCATTTAACAACAGTAAAAATATCTGCTTCCTAGGTTAGGGCTGTGAGTTGATCACCGATCAGTCAATCAGTCAAGACAAAGAGGTTTTATATACAAATATTTAATTGTAGACGCAAACGCCAAACGCAGCACAGTGGAAACGTTCTCCTAAATATCGATTAAACAATATCAAATGTTGTAAAGATCATTGATTTTTGCATGTACAATCCATGATTTTTGTTTGCGTTTTGTAAATTTATTTTATTCATACGAATAAACGCGTGAATGATGTACATGTAATATGTAAATATATGTAACAATACACTCATATGTTGTACAGATCTCAAGATAGCAGTTTCTTCAGGAGTTTATAATTTTAATAATTTTTAGATAAATATGTGAATATATATGTACATACATATATCGATATATGTAATGGTCAACGTTGGCTATTTGACTTGGCTATGGAGTTAATAATTTCACTATATATGTATGCGAGAATACATATACGGGATGTAACATACTTGCCGATGGAGTGGCGATATTGGCCACAATATCTGGCAGACGGAGGTGCCGGAATTTCGTAATGGACGGAGCTAGTAAGTTGGAAGTTACTTATCTTCACTGATTTTGGTGGCTATTTTCTGCATTTGTAGATCCACCGCTGCTTGTTGCGTGAACTGAATTTGATTCCTTTTTATACCCTGAACCCATTGAATGACGGACGGACAGAGAGACGGACATGGCTAGATCGACTCGGCTGTTGATGCTGATCAAAAATATGTATTCTTTAAGGGGTCGGAGATGCTTCCTTCTGCCTGTTACATATGTATATGTATATTTGCACAAATACATTATACAATTTTTACCCATTTTTAATGGGTTCAGGGTATAAAAAAAACAAATAATCTGTATGTTGGATGATCGTTAAGCTTATTATCTATGTAGTTTTTATTGAAAGCTCAACGCAACATAATAGCTGAGCAATAGCTTGCGCAAAAAGGTTGTATATAAGCTTATCAGCTGAGCTTACAATGTGGGTGCGCTAACACATTAAACCTAACATATG